CTGCACAATTGTGTTTCACTATTCAATACAGACGTATATCATAGAATCTGACAGTTTGCCAAAACAACACCAAATTTTAAATTGGACATAGAAACTAACACAGGAGTAGTAATTAATCTTTGTCCAAAGGAAAGCTGCAAAACTTTTGAATATGACATGAATTTATCTGTGTTTGTGCTCTCAAAGATTCTTGAAAAAAATAATTCTAATGAAGCTGAGTCACTAGATAATTGAACTGTCTCTCATCTGGGCCTGTCAGAAAGGCTAAGATGTTATTCAGATGCATAGAAGGACACACGAGCCTTTGACACTGATGTAAGGCCATGAGAGACAGCTGCTGGTGACCAGGAGATCTCAAGACAGAATTTCTGGGATGACAAAAGTAAAGAAATAAAAAAAGCAGAGCGAGAAGAAAGTAAATAAATCCCTGATGAACCTGAACATCTGAGAAACTGGTGTAAAGACTCCCACCCCAGGGTTAAGGTGCTAATGCACTGCCTGACCACACAGCAGGGCTTAATCCATTGTAGCTCTGCATCACCAGCTCTCGTTAGACTGCCCTGTAAACCTTCTTCTACACAAATACAGCCACTCTGCATATTCAACTGTGAGAGAATGTTGCTCTTAACATCAGCATGCCAGCTATACTCAGTCCTTTCTAAAGCTGCTCTACAAACTGAAGTCAATAGACCGCAGTGCTTTGATAGGAAGAGGAAGGCACATCTGAAATCACTGACTTTCTTACACAGAGGTACAGTTAGCATCTGGCAGGAAGGAAGTGGTCACTAAAGAAGGTCAAATGCAGTTGTTGTAACTCTGTTGACTGAAACACTGAAGTCACACACTGGGGTGTTGCAACTGTGTTCTGGCCTTGTTTCTTTTTCTGTGAAACATTAATGGAACTGTTCGATACCCTCTGACCCCCATGTGATGAGATCTATGTCACAATAAACAATAAATCCCCTTGCTCTAGAGCTCGAAATCCCCATTAAAGCCAAGCTTGGCTAGTTGACTCTGAAATCGTGATCCCTTCCAAAAACTAAATCCCCACACTGAAGTCCTTTGCAAAAGTGTAGCCAGTGATTCTCATTTATTGGAACAGAGAAGAAAAAAACAAGTTTTATTCCATATCCATGAGCTTGTGAGCTCTTTATAAATTGCAAGGGATAGTCTGGCCCAGGAAGTGACAACGCTTGGCTGATATGATCTGGAGTTGCAGTGAGGAATGTGGAACCTTGGGAAAAAAGGGATGTTATGGACCTGCTTGGATGTCATCAGGCCTGCTTATGACGGAAAGAGATGTTGTCATTGTGACTCTTGAGGTAAGAGGTTATGCAGGCTTTGAGTCCTGGAGGTGACGGGTTCCCTGTGGGGACGTGTCTCTGAAGAGGGTGAACCCTGGACATTACTGACAGCTCACTGGTTCAACTCTCACCCACCACAGGCTGTGGGCTTGCTGAATTCTGCAGGGATTGAAATGAACAGCAGTCAAACGTTATCTTACCATAGCACCTGTCCAGCGCCTTGTCAAACCGCTGGAACAACCTCTCCAAATTCGATAAAGCGTAAAACAGAAACATGAGGTGCTGTAGGTTTTGTCAGTCATGGGTTCTTGTACATTAGCCATTCTCACCAATGAACACGTGATGAAGCTGTTTGCCTTGTTCAGTAAATTTACAAAGTGAGAGTAAAACTATGTGAAATAGTGTATGATTTTATGCTAGAAGAATATGCAAATTGTAAAAACTGAAATTAATCGAACTATTGTGTGAAAGGATCATGATTTACTTACTGTACAGGAGAAATGTATGCTGTCATGCTATAAATCGTCATTATTATTTGTATCATATTGTCGCAGGGTGCAGCGTGTGTATTAAGTCTAAGATTAGCGAGATCGTTTCTGATTGCCAAATCTATCGCAAGGAACTTTATCTTTTCAATTCTTAGGCATCAAAATTAGTGGCCAAGACTTAAACTGCTTCCGTGTTCAAAAAGGCTCAGAAAACCCAGTCTTGTTCTGCCATCGTGTGGCGTAAGAATGAATATCATTCTTTTCCGAATGTTGAAGAGAAATGTAATTAACATTAAAGACCACAGTCACACTCCCGATGTACAAACAATGAAGGATATTAAACATCTAATTACAATTTTTGTTTTAATTTATTTATAGTTGTTCATTTTATTTAAAAAAATGTGCCGATCTAAAGAGTTTTTCTGGATCTCAGTGCTAGATTTGGTCACAACAGTGCCGTAACCGGAAATGTCAAAATGACATCTGCACGCGTGTCTGTGCACGACTCGGCAGTTTTTTCCGGCAATTTTAAAACATAATACTACACCATACATATGTGCCAACTTTGGTGCTGACTGTGTGAAAATTTAAAGTGACGAACAGCTGACTCTGCTTACTAAGGGTTAATTTATATCAATAGCAGTCTCTGATATTTTAATACCTTCGCAGTTTTTATTCTCATGGCGCCTCACTCGATATTACCCTTGGGGCGATGCATTTACTTCAACCCCTGAAACTCATACGTACGTACACGTTCTTCTGGAATTATGCTCAAGTCCGCTGAATATTTAAAGGAAAGGTAAAAGCTCCGTGAAGACACACAAGCAATACATTTTCAAGAACATGGTTAAAAATGAAAAGAAAACACCTAACCCAATGAACTAGCATAATAACTCCTCCCTAAATGTGTTTATTCGTGTAAAGGCTGCAAAGTCTGGGGTCAACTGATCAAACAATCACAGCTGAAATCTGGTAGTCGTGACTTTGCTCTTTTGTACGTCACAGCCACGAAAAGAAGGCGCTATATTGAAATATATTGAAACATCCACCCCACCCGATCAGACAGACTCGGAAAACAAATTGCCCCCATTGTTTTCATCACAATCAGGAGCACCGAGTTTGTTGGTACCTGTACAGTTCCTTGTAGATAGTCACATGATTACCCGAAAAAACAAGGCGCTATATCTCGTAAACGAAATCAGCACAAACTCTACTTACAGCGACTCAAACCGGCACAAACGCAGCACTAACGATTGCGGTGGGTTTCGTCGTATGTGCTGTCTGTAGGGGGACAACTTCACGGAGCTCAAGGTAAACCGTGCATGGTATTTTAAATGCAATATTTCGGACGGATTTTAAATCTTCCGTTTGGTGTTGTGTTCATTGTGTTTTGCAATAAAATATTAACCTCAGAATAAGCAGGCATACGAAATAGTTAGAACTGTTACAAGCAACAAGTGAAAATGAGCTCTTGCAGCTTGTTTGTGTGTGTGTGTCCGCCGCGGCACAGTAGCGTCTGGCAGCCTATGTAATTGTTGCTTAACCTGTGTGTGTGAGAGAGACAGTATGTATATATAAGGTTCCGCTAATTCTGCTGTTCGATTATACCGCTCGAGGATTGCATTGTAAATCGGAGTGGGTCCCTATGCTGGCAGGACTGTCAGTTAGAGCCAGGGCCACCCACTTTTGCACAGGCCCACCTTAAACTCAAATCCTGGCTACGTCCCTGGCCTGCAGACCTAGACCTTGTTAGTGCTGTCTGGATTCCGCCCTTTTCCAGGTCCTAATGAGAGGGTCTGTTTCTGTTCTGCTGGTTCACCAACTGTGGATGATCGCATCATTCTCGTATCGGATCCAGCAATTACTCAACACTTTCAAATACTTTGTTCAAACTCACTTTTATACTTTATCTTTTTGTTCCGTTTAATTCAGCTTAGTGTACACCTATCTCCTTTGTTTTAACGTACTGTACTGTGTTCTGACGCTGTAAAAGAAAACAATAGTTATTATTGTGCCCCCTAGTGGGCACAGTCATTCACAGCTACAAGCCTATTTATTGTTTACACACAATGTTATCTCGTTTAAACGCAATGATTTTTCTCCGTACTCCGGTTTATCGTACTTGTGCATCAAGTATTGAAGACCTTTTCACAGGCTGTGATTCTTCATGAGAAAACAGAATTGTTGTCGACAAAAATGAATAACAACTAGCAACATAGGTGGATCCTATTTTGTTTTTTTCACCACAGGACCTACTACTTTTGAGAGGGAATAACGTTGTGTGGTTAATTGTAGCTGAGCCATAAGAATATAACAAGAATAACCCTAACTGAAATATGGCTAACAAAATAACAAGAGGAATGAGACAGAACCCCTGTGAGTTCCGTGATTCATAGTGCTTCAAAAATGCAGCAGCGGTATAATGGAAAATACATTTAAACCACCTGTACAAATTGATTTTGATGATGATAAATTGTTCCTCTCTTGAAAGAGGTGGAAACAGGAATTTAACTTATACATGAATCTCAAATGGGTGATAAAGAGGTTGCCCTGAAAGTCAAATTACTTTATCACCTGATAGGAGACATAGGGAGAGACTTGTATCACATTACTTGTTGGACGTGGGGCACATAATCTTGCACTGGATGCTGTGATTGTTGCTTTGGATGCCTTTTGTGACAAAAGAAAAATGAAATGGTGGACAGATGCAATTTCTTTTCTTGGAGTCAGGGAGCAGATGACAGCTTGGATATATACTGATGGAAAAAAAGAAATGCAATATTTTCTGGAATGAGAATACTATAGTTATAGCTTATGTACTTTCACAAAAAGTTGTCAATTTGTTTTAAGCCCTCTGACCAGCAGTCTTGTCTGTTCTTTATTGTAGGAATATTATTATCTTAATATCTGAGCACAAATCTTCACCCTCTCCCGAATACCCCCACACTTCTGAATGCTACACTGGAGCAGTGAGGTCGGGGAACTCCCTACCCTCAGTGTTAGGATGGCAGTGGCAGTTCAGAAGTGCCACAATTAGAGATGGGAACTCCAACTCTACTTCTACAACCAAACTAGAGTCACGGCTAACATTTTAAATAGTTAACAGCGTAGTTTCGGACGTCGAAGTAAACCCAGCTCATGAATAATCCCAGACACTTTCTCATTGGGCGTGTGGCTCGTAGGCTGGGCTACCGAAAACCTGGGATTGCTCAAAACCGAGCGGCGTGCTCAGAGGCGGAGATGCCGCACTGTGTGTGTGAACGCTCCGCGAGGATCCGAGGCGCAGAAGGCAGGACAGCGGGACAGCGCGCAGCTCCGCACCGCAGACTCGGGGATCATTGCAGACGCTCTTCAGACCAGCCGGACTGTAAATGAAGAGGAGATACCGAGTCAGTAGGCACGGACGAAACACCATGGAAAGCCCAATGAGCCGCTGTAAGATTGTTGTTGTCGGGGACACGCAGTGTGGGAAAACGGCGTTGTTGCACGTATTTGCAAAGGACTGCTACCCAGAGGTAAGTTTGTTTTTCATAGTGTTGAGACAGTAACAATCATTAAAGGGAAGGCGTGGGATAGGCAGTGGGGTTGTAACAACTGACGAGGCCGGTGAATTGTAAATTCACTGGCGTGATATTTCCTTACTGGGCATCGGTGGGGCTCAGCTGTGCGGTAAAGTTTCCAAATTCAGCCGAAAGCAGACAGACCTCGGGGCCGGACTGGCTACGGGGACCGATAGACACCGGCGCGCAGTTTTAATAACAGTTCCCAGGCAAACAAGGGATGAAAAACAGTCATTATAATGTCGCACCACAGATACAACCCCGCCTCTAAAAAAAGAACAAAAACCACTAATTGTCTTGCCGTCTGTATTTTCTAGTCCGTAGTCGAAGGTATATTTTTTTACGAACAAGCCTATGACGAAGTTGAGACTGAATTTCAGATCCGTCTTTTCAGTCAGCAGTGGGCTGAACTGCGGTTTGTGCACTCTTTTCTCCGACACAGGTGTTGGACTTTCCACACCAAGGGCTCACTGTAATCGCACACTGGTGCCGAGGCGGTTGAACACCCCATTCATCCGACCGTGGAGCGTGTCCGGAAAAAACACGGACCAGGTTATTTCCACACGGGAACACAGGCTGTTCAAAAGATTATTTTTAGTTTTGCATTTAAACTAAAGGGGTTGTGCTTTCTTTTCCAGAATTACGTTCCCACGGTCTTCGAGAACTATACGGCAAGCTTTGAAATAGAGAAGCAGAGGATTGAGCTCAACATGTGGGACACGTCAGGTAAGACAGAAGAGCCCTTCTCCATCTGCTCGGCGGGTGAAGACTTTTTAATGTCACAGTCAGCGACTTGCTAACAGAATCTGAAAGCTCCCTGGTGTGTCCAGTTTTTGAACAGATGGCAAAGGAACATTCAGGGATCCTAGCGCCTCTGTCGCTGATCTCATTTTAAAGTTAAAAATGACCAGCCCTTTCAAGGTACAGTACAGTGTCCTGCCTTAAACGCAGACTGTAAATCAAGTGTATTGCACAATGGGTGAACTCGTTTGGTTGCTCTTTGGCATATATTAACCTGAGGAAAAATGAGCTGAACTAAACTGACATTGTATTGTCATGGGCATCTCATTAAAGTTGTAAATCAACTCTCCTGCATTAGAAGTCTTGTTAATATGGCTATCTGACATCTTCTTTGGCTGTTGGATTTACGGGCAAAGCCAGCCCTAGCTCCAGGCTGTTTGCATTCCACAAGCCATTAGCAGTCCCTCTCGTTCTGTTCTGAGCAGTGCGCTGTATGGATTAATGGGCTGGTCCAGGGATTGTGGTACAATGTCCCTGTGCTGTTCCTGTGTTATCACTTGTACCTTCGTTTCGCAATGGACAGGATCGTTAACATTCGTCTTTGCCATGACCTGCAAAGAGAATCAACAGATGTTGTAAATTAAAGTCTTCAACTGGCTTGTGCTTTCAATAGCATCAGTCTGAATGTACTGATCAGTAAATCAATAACTCTGTATGTGGATCTTATCTGAAGAGGAATTTGTCAAAGATGGGGTCCTTCTCTTGCGTGAATCTGATGAGCAAGCGCTTAGACCTGATAAAGCAGGTTACGCACAGTGAGAGCGACTCTCTATCAGCTGCCACACATTGGTTGCAGTTGCAGATGCTGATGGATGCAATCATAGTCCTGACAGCTGATATGCTCTTCAGAATGTCAGATTGCAGTTTTGTTTGCTTTACCCTTCCTGCTTCTGGAATGTCTCCCTTATATTGCAAGATTATACATGGAAGATTGTTCTTCAGGATGACTTTCTGTGGTAGGGAGGGTTATTGGGACCTTTCCGGGGAAGGGACAGGAGTTTCTAGCATCTTGACCAATAACTGGACGTGTTAAATAGGAGTGAGTGACCTCTCATCCTGCTCTCAGTGTCCACTACAGTCTGCTTTGTGGGTTTTTTAAGGATTTGAGCAAAAAGAACCAAACAACTTTTAGAGGGAGAATAAGGATTTAAGAGAGTGGTGATGGGAAAGAAATCCCTTGTGCTTAAAGGGCATTTTCTAGTAATATGTTGGTTGCCTGGCTTCACGCAAGCCAACATACCGCCGCTGTATCCTCGGAAGTCGTACGGAAGTAAAGGTCCTTCCCCAGAGAACACCACAGGCTCGAGGGAGAGAGGGCCACTTTCTCCTGACGGCCAATGTTTATCTGGGCTCTCATCTGAATGATCTTAAAGGAGAGGTTATCAATACCATCACATGTGCCAACAGGAATATGACTCCAGATGGCAAAGCACCACCCCAAAACCACATTTCACAGTGGAGATTACTGTTGTATAATATCATACAATATATATTATAATAGTAACATTTATATAGTGCCTTTAAAAGTAATGCCACAAAATGCTTTAACTTTTAAACTGAAATAAAAGAGCCATGTTTTTAAAACAAAGCAAAATACAAAATAAGCACATACTGTACTGTATAAGAAACACAAGAAACAGTGTAGAAGTACAATAGAAAATACATGATCATTAGAAAATGAAACAGGCACAAACCCTAATTAATAAAAGCCTTTCTGAAAAGAGAGGTTTTCAATCTGTAATAATACACCCAGGGTAGGTGACTCTCCGATACCCTTGGAGACAGAATTCCAGGGTTGTGGGCACAGCAGGAAAAGGCAACGCCACCCTTAGAGTGTAAACAAGCACTGGGACAAACAGGAGACCAGTGTGTTAGGTGGGGAGCAGACCGGTTCTGAGGTGCCAAGCCATGTAGAGTCTTATAGGTGTGCATGAGGATTTTAAAGTTGACTCGAGCACAATGAGTGCAAGAACTCCGAGACGGGAGTGTGATCCCTTGCACACACCCTGGTCAGGATTCCGGCTGCTGAATATTGAATATTGTTTAATGTGGATTTAGATGACACAGCAAGAAGGGCATTGCAGTAATCCATTGTAGAAAAGGTAAATGTATTGACCAGCTTTTCTTATACACTAACAGAGGAAAACCCAGTGAGAACATACAAACTCCACACAGACAGCACCCCCGTCCAGAACTGAACCCAGGGCCCCAGTGCTGCGAGGCAGAAATGCTCACTACTGTGCTGTCCACATGAAAATAATATATCTTTCATTTAGGCATTTATAAGTATGGCTTGGTGTCTGAATTGGAGATGACATGACGGGAAAAACCCTGACTTGTGTAGCTCCTGAGGTAGGACAGCAGTGCATCCTACTGCATCCTAGTTTTTTCCTTTGTTTATTTTGAAAAAATACTCTACTTGCATTCGGGGGCTTTGGAGTTTTTTTTTCTCAGCAGTGCCATGAATAGAGGCCGGCGGTAATGACTTTATAATTGGCCATTGTCTTGGGCAATGAAAGCACACCGGCGGTGTGACAGGCCTTGCCTGCAGGGTGTTACGCTGGGACTAAGTGCTGTTTTTGCGTCTAACCAGTTCGGGTACTATCGGTGCAGTGGCCGCAGGGCGCCCCGGGCTGCTCGATTCCCGGCTGCAGCTGCCGCCACTAAATCTTTAAGCAGGAGTAACGAGTGTGGACGTATTTGCATAGCCAGTTTCAGGAACTGCAGGAGCTTTCGCCCGAAGCCCTTCTACCTGCAACTGAATGTTAAAAGCGTTTGACCTAGTGACTGGTTGGGAGCCCCTTCCTGGCGATGCTCCGCTGGCAGTGCTCTGCTCCTCCACCCTTGGGGACTTGAGTCGCAGCTCTGACTTGGCTCTGGTTTCAAGAGAAGTTGTGGGGGAAAATACATCAATGTTCTCTGACTCAAATGTCATATGCTCTGGCTTTCCTGATCAATAATATAGAAGTCATTTATTAATGTAGGAATCCTTTACGTATATTGGGATAGATGTACTTACAATTGTTTAAAATATTAATGTGAGGAATCCTGATATTTAGCTCTGCGTGTCCAGCTGTGAATATATACAATAAAGACACGCAGTCTGCTCTCTGCCGCCCCCTGGCCTTGAAAGCGCTGTGAGACAGCTATGCTGACCACTGTGTACCCTAAGGTGATGTGGACTTTGCCGCAGTGTTTGTGTACTCGTTACAAATGTGTAAAAGTAAAAGGGCAGTGAAGTTGGGAAAGAAGACAGAGAGGTAGACAGAGATGCAAGATGTAGGCGTGGTAAAGTCACAGAAACACTGCACATTTACTGCGTTGCCCTTCTCTGAGGGAGACCGCGGGCTCCCCTCCAGCACCCTGTGCTGCTCGCCCTGCTGTACCTGGCAGTGGAAATGCTGGCAGGGGGTCGGGGGAGAATTATGTTGAAGCTTTTTGCTCTGGAGCAAACCTTGGCTTCCAAACTTCTAATTTTAATGGTGCAAATCCTGAAAGTTTTTTTTTTTCAAGGCTCCTGCTATAGGTGGGATCTTGCCCTGCCAGTCTGTCACTAGGACCGTTGTGATCCTCCCCTGCCTGAGCTCCAGATGAATTCCTTGGGCAATACAAGCTGCCCGAGATAACCAGAGGTGCAATGAGTCCATGACATGCTTTCAGCCAGCAGGCATTTCAGGGAGAGAGAGCCGGGGCTTTCAGCATGTTCTAGTGTTTCGGCTTCTTCTGCAGCTCCCCAGAGCAAGTGACAGTCACTTGTCTTCAATGATGAGGTTGAATATAGGTGTCCTCTAACTTAAAAAAAAAAGACAAGTATTGACACCACTGTGTTAAAACAAGGTCATTTGCTAGCTTACTGTGTTTTAATTAGGAGTCATTAAGCTCTACATATTTGTCAGTAACACCTTGTATACTTGAATGAGATAGCAAATGGTAATTCATGTTCCAGGAGTGAGCTCACTGAATTAAGATCCAAGTGCTGTTACTTATGTCTGTTGCTGCAGCTGTGCCAAGCATTGATTTCTTTACATTACAAAGCACTTACAGCTGTAGAGATCTTTAGATGTACTCCACATCTGCTTGTCCATTCTTTGAGAGCATGGCGAAGGATGAGTTGTGGATGAATTTAGTTGTACAACAAGGTGCACACTTTGTTTTTTACATCTGAATCTGTTTTGAGTAGTGAAACCTGTGCTGTCAAGGTCCTTGTGCATATAAACATGTACAGAGCTCCCAGGAATAGAATAAGCAGCCTTTTCAGAAGTCCGCCACCTGTGCAGGAAGGCCCAGGAACAACACTGTAGTCCAGTTCAGCTGGGGCTCCTCACTGCTGGTCAACTCATACAGCACTATCTGCAGCGGCAGTGTTGCTGAAGAGTGATCTCTGAATTGTCATGGGGGGTGAAGTCAGAGACTCTGACAGTTTGCTAATTTTGAGGCCTTACAATTCAAAGTTCCAGGCGTGACGGCTTTTAGAAAACTTGGCCACTCTTCTGGACCCTTGCTTTATAACGCTGAGCCCAGGGATCCATCTACTCTCTGGTGTGCAACACAGAGCCTTAAACCTCGCAGCCTAGGGGGCTTGGGAAGGGGAGGGTGGGGTGCACTCTGAGCTGAAGTAGGCCAGGTGGTGCTGCTTTCTTCACTATTTACACAACACGGCTGTGTAATTAGTTCTAGCTATTTCTCCCCCTTCTGTACATTTAGAAATCCTTACCAAATCTGATTCTGATCAAAGCTACAGCCAGATATAGTTGGCCTCTCTGATCCTGGCCTGCAGTGTGGGGTTAAATCTGTAAATACCGTGCAGGAATTCCAACACGTCAGTCAAATCGGTACAAAACTTCTTTGTTCTGGATTAGAAGCTTCAGTTCTCTTAACCTGCCTGTTTAGGAAAGAGCTGGTAATCCAGAGATTAGTCCTGTTTG